GATACTAATTAACTGAACAAGAAAATATAAAAATTGTCTTTTACCCTTTGTGTTAATTTTGGCCCAAAATGAAGACAAATAGAATTCAAAATATGTTGAAAAGCTACTGTGTATGTTATATGTCTTGCATTGGGTTATTACAGGCTTGGTGTCAAAACGACACTATCGTCTAGGTCATGGTATCGGACGCTCAGGGGACATTGCAGAGGTACAGCCAAAAGCTGCAGGCTCAAGTCTCATGAATAAGCTGACGAATTGTATGGTGTTAGATCTTATCAGAGCTACAGGTACAGTATATACCTATGTAGAGTAGGTCTTCCTTCAACATGTTGATCTTGAGTGGCATTCTTGTGTTACTTGCTTTTGCATTACCTGTTAAGTTTATATGCTTATATAAAAGGCTGAAGCAATTCCCAAAGCTCACATATTTGGCCAAGTTTGTTATTTGACCCATGGTACTGGGCATATTATGTAATGGCAGTTTCCAACATCACCAGACTCTGCTATTTCTCAGAACATATACACAGAAACCTGTAAGTTAGTAGAGATTGACAGAGATATTGTGAACTCTGAGAGAGAAGAGAGAAAAAAGGGGAGGAGAGAGGGAGAATATGAGAGAGATCAGAAATATAAATACAGACTTCAATAGTTAACTGAATTTAGGAATGCCAAAAGACTTAGGTTGAGATATGGCATTATTTGGAGTACTAGACTATGCTTGGCAGAGGGTAGTCTTCTAACTGGCTTTGCTGGGTGCAGTCTCAAGCTGTCATTTAAAGGCTAGCTTAGACTTTTATGCTAGCATGCTCTTCCTTATTGCAGGAGGCTTTCAAAGCATGTTGAACGTTAGGTAAAAGAGTGACTAATGATAGAGGAAGACTAAGCAGACTTCTAAAACTAGCAGCCAGTTAGGAGTAGATTTGCTCATACATTTTTTGACTACACACCCAATAATTGTAGGATGCTTAAAAAGAATTTGTTACACACACACACACACGCACACACGAATGCAAGCATGGGCGCATTTTAATTTTTATCTTATGAATTCCAATTCCAGGTGTAAGAAAGACCGCTGCTTGCCTGGTGGTTCCTCTCGCAACTGGAATGAGTATGGTGCTTTGTCTTTTGACCGTTAGGCAGCAACGGCCAGGTGCAAAGTACGTCATCTGGCCTCGTATTGACCAGAAGTCCTGCTTTAAGGCCATCATCACAGCAGGTAATGTTTTCCTTAGAATTGAAGTCATTTTTTTTCTGAAACTTGCTATTAAGGTAATGATAAAGTAAAGAGATAATATGTTGATAAGGAACTTAATTCAGGTCTGTAATTGATTTCCTTATTTTTATTATTCATCAAGGATTTGAACCAGTTGTGATTGAGAATTGCTTGGATGGGGATGAATTAAGGACGGACGTAGCAGAGATTGATCGACAGATTACAGCCCTGAAGCCCGAGTCCATTGCTGCAGTAATGACAACAACAAGTTGCTTTGCTCCAAGAGGGATTGACAAGCTTGAAGATGTAGGTCTTATGTGTCATACAGATATTTTTCTTGTGAATGATTCTTTTATTTTTATTGATAGTAACAATGGTAGGAATAGTAAGAGGAATGAGTTATAGTAGTGATAAATACATTTTTTGTTGTACATTATGTTTGAGAAGTATTTTTATTTTTTTTCTTCTTTTTTTCTTTTTTTGCTTTCACTCTCACTAACTAATCTAATTTACAGGTTGCTCGGTTATGTTCAAGATATGGGGTTCCTCACATTATAAATAATGCATATGGTGTCCAATCAACCAAGTGCATGCACCATATTCAGGAAGCTGCAAGGTAAAGAAATAAGAAAAGTAGACTACAGTTTTTCTAATAAGGTTATTTTGCATATTGTGATTTAGTTATCATTAATGTGTTGAATATGGATATTTAGATAGATAGATATAAATATATGTATGCATATATATGTAAATATATATCTGTTTTGCTTAGACAATTTTTGGTTGCAGACATATAAAGAGTGCAATTTCAGGGACTTGAAAAATGTACATTTCATTGTCATATTTTAAATACAATGAATGACAGTAGAATACAGTGTCAAAGAAAGCGTTCATTGATACCCCTTGCATGTAAATGAAAATAGGGAGAGACTGCCTATTTTCTTTATTCATAGGAAATAACAATTGTATTTTGATGCGTTTGTATCAAGAAATATGGATAGTTAAAAGACTATGATTTACCAGGAGGTATGTCTAAGTGGAGGAGGAAATGTTGGAAGGGGAAAAGATCTAGTGTTAGGCTGAAATAAGGATGTTACTTCACATTCACTGCATTTCATTCATAAGAAGATAGAAGCGGGAAAACTCAACTCTGCAATTAGCTCTGACAGAGGAGAGCTTACAAAGGGAAGGAGGGTATGGGTTTCGATAGCCTGGGTGTGACTGAAGGAAAGTTGCCAAACAGTACCAGTAATACAGCAATATAGCACTCCTAACCTAATAGCGATTGGTTAGATATTTGGTAAAGGAAGTGAGTACAGTAATGGGTGGTGCTTCATGCCTGGCAATTGTCCAGCTCATGGTAAGGCCCATGAGGCCACATCTTGGGACACTTACTCATCATATTGTGAGAGATCACATATTTTTGATTATTCACCGACAAGAGTCGAGTTATACCCCACATAAAATGCACATAAAATAATGTACATCTTGAACTATCCTTATTTTTGTTTAGACAACTACTTGCAATTATTAGTTACAAGGATAGAATTTTCTTGATTTGGATATGATTGGTTTACAAGTAAACAGTTGCAGTTGATTTTCTTGGAAGTACTTTGTACTTCCAAGAAGTACAAAGTAGGTTAGTTTTCTTTAAGTACAAAGAACTTCTATTGCTGAGACTTTGTCTTAGCATCATATGATTACCTGTGTTAGCACTACAGGTAACTTAAAACAAATTTTGGTGTCTACAGGGTAGGTCGTGTGGATGCCTTTGTGCAGAGCACCGACAAGAACTTCATGGTTCCAGTTGGAGGAGCTGTTATTGCAGGATTTGATAGCGCTTTCATCCAGCAAGTGGGCAAAATGTACCCTGGTAAGCAATCACTCTGATATTGAGCTGTTCAGTTATATTCTTTGCAGCAGCATTAGACACATTCTGCTGGTCTTTCAGTAATTAATATCTCAATCACTGCTTTCTTCCTTCATTTCAGGACGTGCATCAGGCAGCCCTGTGGTGGACCTTTTTATTACATTGCTCTCCATGGGTATCAGAGGTCACAAGAAATTACTAGAAGATAGAAAGGCGCTGAAGAGTCTCCTAACTCAGCGAATGGAGGGAGTTGCTGAGAAATATGGTCTTAGAGTTCTAAATACCAAAAATAATCCCATTTCCATAGGTGAGTGAAGGATATTTAATATTGCAAAAAAGGATTCTTTGTCATATGAAAATTGTTGTTACTTTGTTATAGGGATTTCATGTTTCTTTAGTATTACATTTGCATTTGATACAGCCAAGAATGTAAAAGACCTATATGCTTATTTTATTTCACTATATCTAAGAATTGCTTTCTACAGCTATGACTCTGCCGGAAAATATGAACATACCACTGACTGAACTTGGGTCAAGATTGTTCCTCCGAGGTGTATCAGGAACAAGAGTCATTAGAACATCGGATGACAAAATGATTGCTGGCACGAGATTTATTGGTAAGTTTTCCCCTGTTGTAATACCTAAGCTGGTTGAGCTTTGAAGAGAAAATCTTTAGAGGAAAATTTCAGAGTGTTTGTCCACTGGGTATTATAATGAGTGAAGAGAGTTGAAACCAAATAGAGTAAAGAGAATAGGAATAGAAAACAAAGAAAAGGAAGGGGCTAGACAAAAAGAGAAGCAATTACTAGTGTTCCAAATTCATAGTTTTTACTTGGTTTAAAGTTAAGTGAAATACATTCACTTTGTTCATTAGATTAGAATTAAATGTCATTTCACATCTGTCATTCTTGAATTTAATTTGTAGATTCCTAATTATTGGAGAAGCCTGGAGGTAAGTCATTGAAGTTTTATGGAGTTTATAAGGACATATATGTATTCTGTTGAGGAAATGAAGGTGGTGAATGATAATTGGCTCAGTTGTTTCAGTTTGGAAGAAATCTAGGAGTTGAAAGACATTTTCCACTTGATAGGGATAGTTATTAGAGGTGTAGACACCTTATCTTCCAGCAAATGGAGAACTTATTACAGGTAACGGGGTTGCAGATCATGGGGACAATAAAGAATGGCAAGGACTGGGAAATTTGTTAATGGTGAAATGTAGTGGTCTCCGATTGCCTGGAGGGAGGTTTAGTGGGAGAAAAAAACACCAGATCATGCAGGAGAAAGTCCAGTGTGGTAGAATGAAGCCCTGCTTAGGGATAGAAGGCTTGGAATAGCTTACTCTGGTTGTGAGGCTGGAAGTAAGACATTAAACAATACCAAATTTACAGATTCCCTTACTATGCCCTATTTACACCATGATAAAAGAGGTATAGGGTCTATAGAAATATCCTGTCTATAAGGGGAAACTTAAGGCGTTTTAAGTAGGGAAAGTTCTTGCCTGAAATTTCAAGTGTTTTTCTTGCTAACTCAAGCATTTCGCTTGCTTTCTCAAGCGACCTCCGTAGATGACTAGACTTGCGCTTGCTAAGTCAAGCGGTGTACCGTCACCATGGCAACAGCGTTGGTCGCGTACTGTACTGGTCATGATCCTTTGAATGCAGGCGTTGGCCAGGAACTCAGCTTAATATCTTATCAGATAAATAATTTTTTCACGGTATCTGATTCTGTAATTTACTTAGAATTATATTCAAAGAAATTGAAATTAACTGAAAACGAAAGGAGATAATGGAGATTATGGGAATAAGATGTGTTTTACTTATATATAATAAATCATTATGAGATGAACAATTTACCTCTTACTGTACTGTTACTCCTCGTCTATCTAAATTGAGAATATATCTGCTATTCTATAAAATAAAGAATATTTCAAGTGAAAAAAGTCTGAGGATTTCTAGCAACATTCCTCTCTTGATATTGTATTCGATGATTTGTTATGTTTAACCTCATAAAATCGGATATATGGAAATGGGTAGGCCTATATTTTAATTCAGGGATGTTCATTTGTTTTGAAAATACTGCGCTTTGTTAAGATGTTTGGATAGATTTACTCTGCCATCTTGATGCGGCGTTAGCTTGTCAGCTGTTTTGAAATGCGCACTCAAACTGTTACCAACTGCCAGTGAAATAAATACTTGCTGATACTTGTCTATTGCTGTTAAAACCCAAGTATGTATATGCTGTGTGTTATTTTGACATTTCTATGTTCTCCAATAACTGTTATGATTTGTACTTTATAGAAAAACACTTCCACATGTCTGGTCTCTTGGAAAGCGTTTTAAGTAGGGAACGGTACAGTTCTTGGCCTTTTGGCAAGAATTCTTGCTCAAGCGCTCCCCTGCTTAAAACGCTTTTAGTTTGATACCTGATTCAGGTAGTTCTGACCTTTAGGGTTAAAGACAGCATGTACAGAGATCTTTTTAATACACCCGTTTTATGCTGTAAAGTACCCAGTTAACCTAAATCCACTTCTTGAGAAAATTATTTGAATTTTATAATTTCCAGGTTGGGGCAGTCATTCAAAAAGTTATCCATATGCATACCTGACTGCTGCTGCAAGTATTGGCATGACAGAAGAGGATGTAGACCTCTTTATCCAACGTCTTGACAAGTGTCTGGAGAAGTTCACAGGCACAAAAAATACAAAGGAAACATATGGATCAGAGAATGACGTGACAAGACGGGATTCAAAATCGTACACAAGAGGAAGCAAAGGAGAAATCAATGGCTAAGTGTGCAGATGTTGAAAACAAAGGAAGGAGAGGAAGAGGTAAAATAATTGTGTATTAAAAGATAAATGAATACACAATATAGATACTGATATGTTTCTTCAATACTTGCATCAGACGTTAGTTTAAAATGCATGGTTTAGAATAGTGGCATGATTGTTTGCTGTATAGAGTTAAAATGGCATTGGGCTTGAGGGTAAAGTAACAATCTGTGATCCAGTTGTTTTCCTTGCAAAATAAGTAAAACAAAACATACTGTTGTTTTAGTGAAGGTAGTACATAGTAAAAAGAGACATTAGATGTGTAGTACAAAGCCATCCATTAAAGACTTTTTCCGATTCCTGACTTTTAAACCAGTCGCCAGTAATCTCAAGCTTTAACCAGTATTTGCCTCTCCTACCACAAATAACCACAATGGAAATCAAGTAAAGGTATCTGTTGTCAAGAATGTTCTCACATATGATAACTTACCAAGTTAAGGTGGAGATAATAAGCCAATAAATTTTGCATTTTATTTACCTTGTATGATTTCCATTGCTACATGAAGATATTTTTTATATATATTGTTTCAATGGTATAGTATATTTTTTTACCTATGTATTGATATCTTGTGTATGTATGTTCACATAAAAGAAACAGTATAATATTTGCAATCTCACTCAGTTACCCTAGAAGCATGGTCAGAATTTATATGCATATATATATATGTATTTTTTTTACATCATGTTTGTAATTACGTGTACTATTTAAAGTGTATCCATTTACTCTTCATTTTATCATTTAGTACAGTTTTACTGGCATCAGCTGCACTTTTCCATCAGCACCAAGGACATACCACTAATGCAGCATATACTCTCCAATACTGTAGTATTTGATAGTTAGTACTAACTACAATATAATTCAGGTACCATAGAAGACCTTAAAACTTTACACCAGTTTCCATAGTAAATGAAAAACAGAATAGTAATGTCATCACAAATTCAGTTTTGCTCTGATTATGACAATTGTTAGCAGTTACCGAGGGAAACACCATGATGCAAAAGTAGGTGCACATGATTTGACGATGTGAAGATACCACACCTCATTTAGGGGACACTAGATGTAGCATGGTGGTATGTTGGAAAGGTATCTCTGCTAGGTGAAGAATTCTATCGTTATTGAGCATTATGGTTTCTGTGGATGCATATTGAGTTTGTGAAGTGTTAGTGTATGTGTAAGCAACAACCGCTGCTTTGAATGTTTATTTTTCACAAGAGAATATTAATCATTGTCAGCCAGAGTCTTCAAAGACAAGTGATTAAATGAGATCAGCAAGAAATCCCTCAACCCTTGGTTTCACTGCTCTTATCTACTTCTGGAACCTTTTAAAAGTGAAGACCGGGATTATGATCCATGTGGGCAGAGCTTTGTTTACTATCTAGGGAACTAGGAACACTAAACATAGAGGGTTCATAGTCTAGAACTAGCTATGGATATTTCAGAGCAGTGAGAACCTATAGTGCATCATATTATGCAGTTATAATAGCAAAAATGTATGGTTTAATATTTACATTGAATGTTTATCTTTTATTTCCCCTCCAAAATATTACGACTCATAGAAACAGCTGATGGGCAAAAGCTCATTCAAGACTGTAGAAAGAACACCATGCATAGATACATTGTTGATCTTGTTTAAAATGGGTTTTATTTATATTAGAGACTGGGCATTACTATTCTTCCTTGTGTTGGCCCATGTAGGACTTCTTTTTTCTTTTTTCAACTAAGAAACTAAAAAGGATAGGAAAGAAACGAGGAAATGAGACAGGCTATCTTGCTCATGTTGCAAATTGTTTTAAAGCCAGTGTTGAATGGAGACAAGCTCAGGAAGACTGGTCGCTGTACAGGAGACTTGGCGCATAGGTGTCTTAGGGCTCAGAGCTAGATAAATTGTATGACATTGGTGTGATGTTTAACCTCTTTGATCCAAATGACATGACCATTATATCAGGAAAAAAATTGGCTTGGATGACATGAACATGCAATGTTGGGAAAATCAGACTGTGGGCCGGGTGACACAAAATTGCTGTTGTGTGCATTTTGGGTGAAGGCTGGGATGACAGAAAAGACTCACCATGGGTGCACAAACCACTTACAGTTTGATTAGACTCATTTGGCATTTAGAAAGAGTTTTTTGCATTATCCTCATTATGTCCATGAGCCATGACTGGAAATGCACCGGCTTCAGGGAGGACGCCATTTCTATGCTTAGCATTCTATTCCTGACCGCCATGACTGGCAGCACAATGTGTATTACAGGAAATTGAGTATTACACAAAAAGAGACAGCAAAATTTTACTTACTTTTGTTATTTACTTCCTAGAGGGATGATATGGAGTATGTGCAAGGAAAATTGTACATTACCATCGGGATAAAGCAAATCAAATGACAAATATGGATATTGGAAAATGACAAAAAAAACTAAAAATTCTTATGCATAAGAAGAGAAAATAACATTACAAAGGGGATGCATAGAGTCTTGTCACCACACAAGTGTTTGTGTGCACCTGGCCTACAAACCACGCACCCGGCAGAGTGACCGCTTACATACACCTAATACCTATATATTGGTTCATGTGATTGCTGTGAAGCAACTGGACCCAAGGGGTTAATGCCACTACATCCATCTCTGTGTGTACTCTCCTGCCTTTCTTTTTTCTGGTCATATTTCTGTTTGTATAAGGCCATTTCTGTCAGTTTGTCTGCCCATCTACATTTCTGTGTGTATCCTTCTTACTATCTATCTGTGTTGTATATATCTATAAATTTGTCTTTTTATCTGTCTGTCTATTACTCTGTGTCTGTGTCTTTGTCTGTATCTAAATCTTTCTGTCTATTCATGTATCTATAAATATATATATAGATAGAAAGATAGATAGGTAAGTTGGAATAGTAGATAGGAATATAATTAATGTGGATCTATACATTCTATGGAAATGTGCTCCTCATACCATGTGCACATCTATATAATTAATTGTTTCAGAATAATTTCCACACAGGAAAATCACATAATAAGTACAGTATTTGCAATATTGTCACAGCAGGACAATATGTCTATGGATAGCTACAGTACACTGTCTTACTATATTGTTTTCTTGTCTACATATTCTCTTTGAGGTGTGGGATTTTCATATTTTGCATAGTGTACTTGCTATATACTAACAAATATTGTTCAAGGTAGCACACAAAGCATTAAATTCATTGCTCACCATTATTCAAGCACAAGCCTACAAAAGTAATTGCCTTATGGACTGCGTTTTTTCTGTACATTAGCTGCTACCTCAAATCTTGTCACTTGCCACTTACACCACTGCCATGAACACTATGTCCCAACTGCATCGGAAACTTTAACAGTGAACAAGCAGAGCTGTAGGCGGATAACCGGGTGATTGATTGTCAGCTGAGTAAACTCTTCCTCGCGCGAAAAGCAGTGTTGGAGGTAGGAGTAAATTGCATCCTAAAAAGTTTGAGAGGGTCATTTCTAAAGAATTTGTTGTACTTTGAAGTCAGTGAATATTGTTAGAATTATGAGGTTGGTTGCAAGTTATAATCTTCTAAGGGATGTTAGGCTAAGTTCAGGGATATTATATTCTACTTCCATATATTTCTATTGTAATTAAGAGTAATATATATCAGAAATTATATACGTTCAATCCTTGAATATTTTTATTTGAGATTTTGAGATATACATTCTTAATTATATTTTTTACAAAGTTTTGGAAAAAAGGGAATGAAAGTGATTACAATTGCCAAGATCTCAGTAGATTAAGATTAAAGGAGCCAGGTAAAGAATTGTATGCTTGATACACTTGTCTTGTCCATACAACTGACATCTATCTTTGATTTTGTGATGTAGAATTGTCAGTGTTCTCGGTTAGGTATGCACATGCAGCGTGCCGTACTTAGGGACACGTAGTATGTCAGTAAAACAGTCTACTTCTAAGATTTACAGAAGGAACCAAATTAGGAATGCTTCCTATAGATTTATAAGTAAGGAGCCTTTAAGAATGATGGGAGAGTTGGGGCTTTTGAGAAGCACTTGGGAGGAAGTAGATGTATTTGTATCTGTATTTATAGATTGCTTTTTTTTTTTTTTTTTTTTCATTTTTTCATTTTCATTTTTCGATATTTCTTTCTTTATTTTTGATTGTATATTTTTTTTTACTGTGGATTGTTTGATGTTTGATTTTTATGCAGAGAAATGGAAAAATAATCTACTTGTCTTGAAAATTCTGGGCAAATTTGATTTCTCTCTCTCTCTCTCTCTCTCTCTCTCTCTCTCTCTCTCTCTCTCTCTCTCTCTCTCTCTCTCTCTCTCTCTCTCTCTCTCTCTCTCTCTCTCTCTCTCTCTCTCTCTCTCTCTCTCTCTCTCTCTCTCTCTCTCTCTCTCTCTCTCTCTAATGTCTTATCTATTAAAAAAAAAATTTAGATTATATATCACAAAACTTTTAAAACTGATTTCCTATCTTTTTTTCATTAAAGGTAGATTTGGTGAGGAAAGAAAGTTGCACATCATTAAGAATTGTTAATATATGTTTATTTGCCATATTCTTTGTAGATGATTTCCAAAATTCATTTATTTTCTGTATATACATAGCATCATTCAATTATTGAAGCACTTTCAAGTATATATTTTGTTGTTGTTGTTATTATTGCACTCTCACAGTTGGAGGGTAATGGAATGCAAATGACAGAGGATAATTACAAAGCTTTTTTTCCATTTTTTATTTTTATTATTATTTATTTTATTTATTATATTTATTTATTTATTTACTTATTTATTTATTTTCATTATCAGACTTGTTTTTCTCTGATGTAGAACAAAGTCAAACTAGCCAGTCTATAGATAGCTAATCTATCTCTAGTAGATTAAAAAAAAAGCAAGAGTTGCAGGCAGTCCCCTTAAGGTGACATTTTCTCTTTCTAGCTTCTCTGAAAGGTATTAATACCAGATATATAATTATCCCAGTTGATGAAAGTCCAAAGTAGCAAGTAACACCAAATGATCATAACCAGATAGTAAATACTCTAGCCATTCTTTAGCGTTGCCGTTTCCATTCCCGCAATCGTTATGCTAGTAAAGTGTTACTCCCATTCTGTTAAGTGCATCTTAGATCGTATTATTCTAATTGGTACATGTGCTATGCCAAAACGTGTATAACATACTGTAATTTAGGTAACCACTTCCTTCCTGTTGTAACCATTAATGTAAACCAATGTCACCATTCCAGTCCAGCGAACCTCACACAGTACAGTTAGTGTCTCACCACTAGTCCAACCATGAATGCAGTACAGATATACCATTAACCATGATATCACTAATGTACCTAAAATCATGTCATAAGTATATTCATCTACTTTAATGCCAGACTCTGATAACAAATAGAGCCAGAAGAGTTCATATAAATTTTCATGTCATCTTCAAGACACGGGTAAACATAAGGTATTATGTAGAATCCAATCGATATGCCAAACCTTGGTAATGATGAAGAAGCTCTGCTATAATTAAGATTGCTATAAACAAGGAAGACATACATTTTCTTTTGATGCCAGACACAATACATTGCTAATTAAAAAAGTATGCAATCAGTTCATGTTAAGCTACGATTCTCCATGTTGACAAATTGCTTTAAATGTTTTGCAGAGTTCTTCACTGCCAGTATTATGTGGTACTTTGGAAAGGTCACTGAACTTTCAGATTACTTGGCTGTGAAACACCTCAGTGTGTAGAACACTGATGAAATATATGAAACATGTTAGGCACATAGTATATCAGTTAGGCATACCATAGAACTGTTTAGATTACTCAAGTGTTATATGTAGTCTTCATCTCATATTATAAATCCTCATTGTGCAGAATATAGATGAAAAATGTAGAACATATGTTAGTTGTATAGTGCATCATTTAGATGTGTCATAGTGCTGTATAGTATATGAAAGTTTGTGTAGATTCCATCTCCGTATATATACAATAAAACTTGTATAATTTGGATTCAGTTTTTTGTTTCATTTCTGTCATATGTAAAAGCTTGCAAATGAAACACCATATTTTTGATGTAGAAAATAGAAAAAGACCCTTTGGTACAAATAAGGAGACTTCTTAGATTTCTTCTGCCACTAACATATTCTATATGTAAAAAACATTTTTAGTATTGACAACCTAAATTCCATAATTCACAAGAATATAATTCCTAAATAAATGTTCATGCTTGTATATAGTAATAATTTATATTATTGGTAATTGATGTAATCTGTACATTTTTCTCTTATCTTCATCTATTTCAAATTGCACAATGTAAAAGTATCAGTAAAATCTCATTTTGACTGATTTACTTCCAGCCATTGCCTCCTTTACTACAAGCCTGAAACATCAAAATTTCACATATAATAATCTATTTACAGATGTTTCGCCAGTGATTCTATGCCCCAGAGGAGACAAACCCCACAGTCCTCCTGTGCGTCCATGATTGTCTTAACAGGAGATAAGAAGTAGATTGAATTTTTTTCTGAAGTTGGCTCAATTGCAAATGTTTTCCCTCGAGGCAATATTCATTTACTGTGGAAGTCATACAATATATTCTTCAGCAACTGG